GCAGTATTCACCCACAGCTTGCTTTGATTAGGTTGAATGTTGAACCACAACATTTGTGGATTGGCACACAAGAGATTAGGACATAGCAAGTCATAGACTTGATATTAGAGATAGAAACAGAATAGACGCGGCATAGAGACTGGAGCGAGTTGGCTGACAATAGGCCTGTTTAACCATAAACGTGGTCCATGAAGCAAAGGCTTGACCATGAGAATTACTCGGGTTCTTTAGTCTCAAGTTAGTATAGCAAACGCAGAGTGTGGGAAATAACACCTCGTGGAGTACAGATGGGGTGGCAGGGGTCGAGTGAAATACTTGAACCAGGGAGATAGCAGACGGATCCTACGGGGCAAGAGGGAGACTTTGATAAAATCTAGGGAAAGATGACTGTGTAGCAATATGGCAGACTCTGGTCAACATTCCCAGCACAAGGGTGAAGGGGGGTGAGAACGCCAGCGTGGAGTGTGGAGGGTTGTCATGAAAGCCGCTCAAAAGGGCACACCACACATCATTTAAATAAGCAAGGAAAAATTGTAATATTGAAAGCGTGAAACGAGGATATAGGATAGGAGAATAGCCCAGAACAAGAGAGATACCACAACTGTTTAGCACACATTTGCTCGAAGGATCGGCTTCACTTGTCTCTTTGATGAGTCGTAGTGTGGTGCTAAGTCTGGCAAGACTCATTTACGATGCCGGCAAACGTATGGGAATGTCCCACGTCCACAGTCGGACTAGATGCGTTTCTCTAAGTCTTCCTACCAATATGGCCAAGTTGCAAAAATGGGGTTTAACAAACTCTAAAAGAATTTATGTTTGCATTGTTACCGGCAATACACACTGACGAGACGGAAACTGTTGGTGCCATAGCCTTTCATCGCGGATATTAGGGCCAAAAAGATGAGACTTCTCTTTCTTTTGCAGTCTCTGTTTACTGAAGAGAAGTGGTTTCTACTCGTTTCCGTTGCCAGGCTGTGTTTTCAGGGCGGCCTAGACAAACGCACCTTAGTGGTGCTGATTATACTCCGAATCAACTCATCTATTTGATACATGCTCAGATGCTTGGCCAATGTTGTTTGTGGGCATTGACAGTCTCAAGGACAAAGGGGCAAGTCAAGTACATCCCTCAGCCGACTTAAGACCAAGTGATTGTGATACATCTACCTCTCATCTTCACAATCACAACTTCGGCTGTGTAGCCTATGCTGAAAAAGTAAGAAGTTGTACACCACTTACTTAATAATTCCCTTTATTCCGTGTCCAGCTACAACCCGAATGATGAGGAATGCCACTTCCACTTCGCCAGTCCCCTGGCTCCCGAGGACGAGTGGTCAACCGAGTCCACGGCAGTCTACAGTCCTGAGACTGCGGCCTCCCCAAGCTCCACCACCGGCGTCGAGACGAGCGTCTCGCCCGGTTCCATCGATTCAACACTTCAGCCCGACTGGACGTCGACGCCTCGGGGTGCTCAGGCCGGTGCGTCCGTTTCCTCTGGGTCTGGCCGCGAGGATGCCTATGGTGGAACGGTGCCGTTCCGTCTTGGTCTGCCGCTTCGCGCAGGACCAGTTTCGTCGGGAAGTCGACGCTGGCCCTTGTTCGGCCAGCTTGTCGGCTACAACCTTACAGCAATCAGGCAACTGGACCTAGAGTGCCACGAGGCATTGATCAAAGGGCTTAGGTTAGTTCAAGAACCGACACAAACTTACTTAGTACGAATTCAGTTATAGCCTTAAGGTCGCTTAGGGTGATTTAAGAACAAATATTTCAGCCTTCCCACAATCGGGCAAGCAGACTTCAGGATTCCATTGAAATTTGCCTTGCCTTGGCTCGGGAAAGGCTTTCTCCTCTCGGCTGGAACGGATTGCAGTTTCGGCCTAGCCTATGCCTCATCGTCTCTTCTAACGAGACTTGATACCGGAGCGTGAGTGCCGCTCGATGGCCTCCAGTGTGTCACAGGGCAGAGATGATATTCAAAGCAGGCCAGGCCTCATTTAAATCACATTTAGTCGTGGGATTGTCGAATAAGGTTAGCATATGTTGGATACTGCAATCGACGATGCTACTTATTTTGGATTTAAGTAGTTTTTGTGACTAGATTAAGGTGATATGGGATGTATTCAACCTATTTAGTCTAAGGTAATGAAGGACTGGTAGTAGAATTTTCCCAAAATGATATGAGTTAAGCTGACGTTTCCAATGAATCTTATATAGTCCCAAAAGTTCCAAAAAGGTGTTAGCGTGTCAAGCTCCCATCCTGCACTGTCGCGGTTCGACTCCCGCTGATGGTGTTGATAAGACCGATGCGAGGTCGAAACTGCAGTCCACCTTGGATT